GAGTGATGGGTATCTGATGAATGTTAGAGAAATGTGTACCTATACACATAGCCATGAATTAGGCATGTATGGGTGGTTCGAATGGCTTCTTGAGAGGCGTACGAGGTCGTGTTTGCTTCGCATAACATGAAGCATTTTTATTATGAAAACGTGATTTTACCGAAAAGCGGCCTTGCCGTCATACTGTTTGTGATTGAGATTCCCCTGAAAAAAATATCAATGTCTTTATAATTTGACTCAGTAACAAAACAAAATGCGATGTTTGTGTCTACTTCACTTCAATCGGATAAACAAATGTCGATTAAAAGAAGTCAGCATGGGATAATTTTCGTTGAATAACAATTAAAATAGAAACATTACTAACTGCCAACTGTTGAGATTAAGATGTTTAACATATCATTTTATAGACAATAATTTCACCAGGATTGTTTTAAAAAGTGATAAAAAAAAGATAGTCACAAGCGTTAACATAGCTTGGAAAAAGTTCATTGTTTTGCTTGTCAAAATATCAAGTGCCCTACATTTCTGATATTTACCCTTTTAGAAGAGCAAAATTGTCACTGGCATATTAAACTACAAGGTTTGAGCATAAGAAAGGAACTCGCTGTGGTCGTTAAATTGTTACTTTGAATCAGTATAGAAAACCTGCCAACTGTTACAACTTTAGAGTGTACCAGGGTATTTTTTGTTTTTCTTATACATGTTATATTATCTAAACACAAGAGTGGACTCAAATGGAGAAAAATGAGACGAATGTAATGCTTATTACGTCGGGACAAGTGTGTTTTGTCCACAAGGGCAACTTTGCAGAGATGCCGAGTAAACAAATTGTACGGCAAATTATGTGATATATAACATTTTCAGACGGGAGCAGTAATCAAGTATAAACGTTACATATTTTATTGCTGGTAATTTATTTTATCTGAGCATTCGTTAGTGCTGAGCAGATTCATGTTAATACATGTCATTTATAACTCCCATTCATCAAATGTGATTGCATGGAGGCCTATATTTTCTTTTTCTTTTTTAAGTACCTGTAATGTTATAATTCATGGAAGACCGTTCCAACCTTAATTCATTCTTTGCTGGATATTGTATCTTCCCTAAGCCAATCGGCAATCACAGCCGATTGAAATTGCGTTCTTAGACATGGGTGAATTATCGGACACAAGAGGGCGCCCTATAAAGTTACCAAAAACAGAACGCAAGCCGCCTTCAACTTTTCATGTACAAAAAGCCGTCACCAAGACTGCTTGAAAATACTGATGGACTGTTTGCGTTGAATCTTGTACGGAAATGCAAAACAGTGCAGCCATGGAATGTAAGGTCATTGATTATGGCGGTTTAAGCTACCCACAATGCACTGCAAAGTCTGTGTTCTTTTCGTGAATTGCTGTGAAAGCTATAGGCGACCTAGAATGTGGAGCGCTGATGACTTAAAATATGCGTGACGTCATGACGTTGGATGTGTAATCATTCACTCTTAAGCGTGCTGGTGACGATGCTGTACATTTCGTATGCCAACTGGGGTCGAAACCTCCACCTGCACATTTTTTTTGCGAAAGAGATAAGCTGTCCTCAGCCTCTTTGGACGACTGGGTAAAATCAAACAACTGCGTGAGTATTCTGAACTCAAACGGGTCTGCTGAGGGCGCTATACAAGCTCCCTATCCCTGAACTTTTTGCTGTTTCGGAATAGAAGCTTGCAAGCGAATGATTACACATCCAACGTCATGACGTCATGCATATTTTAAGTCGTCAGCTAACTAGCAGTCATTGTCCTCGTATTGGATTACAACTCGAGTACTTTTTTTTTCAAAAGAATACTCGTACTCGTACTCGCACTCGAATATCAAAATACTCGGACTCGAATTCACGGTACTCGTACTCGAGAATCAATTAAGCAGGCCTACTGGGACTCGACTATCCTAAATCGTACTCCATCATCTAAGTAGGTCGTACTCGATTATAAGGATTCGGGAAAAAAACGAGTAATTAAGTTTTGAATGAAAACAAATCTCCTTACTTGGGGACGCGAGTGTTCCGGTACTAGTACTAAGCAGTACTTTGTACTCGGATAAAAGTACTCGACTACATCATGCTTACAAGCGTTCAAGCAGATTGAACAGCCACACGTACAGCAACTCAGCGAAATTAATAATTATGAAGTGTAATTTTACCCAAAACAGGCGTTTGGAATCAACAATAAAACGTTGCGTTTGGAACACCATACAATCACATCGTCGGCAAACCTGAAATTTGTTATTGTTTTGTTTATTTTCCCCAATGCACAAACCTTAAATCTTTAATAGGAGCCATTCCGGAGTTAGTTTGGTGTCGGCCGAGCACATCTCGTTGTCTGGTAAGTAAAATACTGCCCTCTCGTGAAAAAAAGAGGACTGCGACATAGCAGAATGGGGGCGCTAGCACTGGTCATAAAGACGTTTGTGACATCCGAATCACCGCGCCTATACGGCGCGTGTGTAATTACAAGCCGAAGCCAAGTAATTCGCACGCGGCTTTACATTTCTGGCCAACTTCTAAATTTCTCGCGCAACGATCCTTCTAATTGTGTGTGTTCAGTATCAAAATTTGAAAATGCCAATCTTTTGTCTATTTCTCTCCACTAAGGCCAGCTTGTCTCAAGGTGGTCAATAACTCGTTGAAGATTTTCAAATAGGTCTAAACGGCGCTGCTCGAAAGCTAATTTGGCAAAGGCCATTCGAGCAGTCCCCATTTTTAAAGCAAAATGAAAACGTGGAAATGAGGGAGTCAGGTCAGCGTGGCGGTACTTTCCTCGCTTTCCACCGCTGTGACCCCGGTTCGATTCCTGCCAGGGCCAATAATATGGATTGGGTTTTCAGTCCCGGCCCGATTTCGTGGGTTTCCCTCAGAATATTCTTCTGGGTCCCCCCACGTCTAAAACTGTCATTTATTCACATTGTCTTCTCTTTACTGACCCCCTTGGGAGACCAGTGAATTCCACTGAATGGGCCATCCAGTTAAAATAAGAATTGAATTAATAAATAAGAATAATGTTTTTTGTCGAGACAAACATTTAATAGTACAGAAGTATTGAACTAGAAGGTGGTCTCATCCTGATCGTGATAGAAAGTTCCTTCGGAAGCAATGAGATGCCTCATTGTAAGTTTAGTAATGTTCGGGTGTTTATCCAAACATGATTTCTTTATATCAGTATTCATTATCCAAACTTTGCCGTCAGCCAGATAAATGCTATGATACCGCACAACCAAGCGAAAATTATCGAGGAACACTTTTAAAAGCACGAAATTATAGGTAGACAGTGTATTAGGCCTACACAGCGAGTATTATGTTCAGGGCAAACGGTGTGGACGTTAAAAACAATCCTTGAATGTTGTGACGTCTGTGGACTGGCTTATGGCGGACTGGCAGACACAATCGATGCAGGAAACGCCCTCTTGTGACGTCATTTGCACGTGAAACTGCGCTGTCACCTTTGGAACCTGATTATATTTTCTCTCCGATAGACGATGGATCCGCCCAAAATAATTTCCATTTTGTTTGAAATTTCGGAACATCAAAAAGGCAACCTTGTGTTCTTATTATGGTTTACTTTTATACCTTTCCCTATGACTTCAAAGCCTCGTGTTAGTGATCGCAAATTTGTTTGTTTTGTTCAATGAAAGGCAAGGAGATCATCACTGATTTTTAAATGAGATCTCCGTATTGTCGTAAATATAGGAAAATAACAAGAAAACAATGTCTGAATAACCAATATGGCTTCCCACCTATGGTGAGACGTCTCTCCATTTTCTAAAAAAAAACCCCTCCTTTTGATTAAAACTACCCTGGTGCCTCTTTCTTATAAAGATGACATTTCGATGGCAAGGTCTTTATGTTTTGTTTCACCTTTTCTAAACAACTTGTTTTTGTCGCTGCTGCATCTTCTGCTCAACTATCTTTGGATTCACACAGAACGTCATAGGGAACCCTTCATCGGTGAAGTAGAAAAGAAAGAAACAATTAACACCATTACCGCCGCGCCTGCGCCAAGCGCCGAGCCCAAGGAAATACACTACTTGTTTGCGCACTTTTGTTCCTACACAGAGGATAGACCAATCCGGGTACCAAGGCCCCCTTCAATGGCGAAAGCATTGTGCTGGCTGTTATTCAGATAATAGCATGCACAATGGTTTCTCCATTCCAGGGGGCCCCATGGGTGTACAGTGATCACGTACCCAGTAGGCTTCGTCTATGAGGACAGTCTTTTTTTTGCAAATCAAGCAAGCTGAAAGGTCAATTATTGTATGTACCCGCGAAAATGAAGGTGGCCAAACCAGTTATTGCAGATAGAAACTGTCATTGTGGTATATAATGCAAGATGCTTACACTTGAAATATCATGGCGAATAAAGTTGGAGTTCCATAATTCATTAAATCCAACTTAAAATCTGTAGAAGAAAAATGGTCTGCATACAACAGGCCCCACTCGCCTTTTAAGTGCCCCTTCACAGTTAGATTGTGTATCAGCCGAAATCGTTCTATTTCGAAGTTGATCCGAAAACAAAAAAGGTACAAAAAGATTAATTCAACCCTGACAGACACTTTCTGCACGATACCACCTTTTTTATTCACCTGTCACCTTTATTCACCTTACGTATCTCTAGCAGACTTCGGAGAATTAATTAAACCAAACTTGAACGGGACCATATTGCTTACCATAAGGCCAAAACAAAAAGCCCAAATAAGACAAAACATGCAAAGAGAAACAAAAACTCACACACGCACTGTCATTTTATTTTTTTACTACGACCTGTCAATCCCTCCCTCTATTGTAACTGACACCGCTGGCAGTGATTTTCGCCCCTCCATGTTGTTAATCACCGATCAATTCATTGACGCCTTTCATCTGAGCACGGCGTCAGAGCCCGTTGGCCTGGCAACCAAGTTGGTTAACTGAAGTTTGACAGGCGGTGCCCCGGTGACGTTTAATACGCGCCCGAAGGAGCCGGCCACAGTACAAACCAACCGCAGCCGACAAGACACGGTATAGATATAGAGACGACGCAGCACCACCGGGAGTCGTTCGGAGAGCAGTGGTTACACAAGCAACAACGGGCCGTCTTTGCGAGGAGAGGTGAAAACGACAAACGACAAATAATCAGATTATCAGGTCAGCATCATCGAGAGCCAGCAGCGTTCCGCTATAGCTACACCACATCTTGGAGGAGAATCTGATCCGACAGAAACCAAACGCAGCGTCAAGAATGCCGGGCAGGAAAGACCAGCCAGAATGCACGAGGTAAAATCATTTGAACTTTTCAGACGCTTTTGGTCTTTCTTTCCAAGTTAAATTCATGTTAATGTCGTTGAACTTTCTCTATAAAAAGTATCGGCATCTGAATCTGCATCTGTAGAATACTGTGCAAACTCCTAGATTAGATATCCCGCACATGGTAAACAAAAAATGTTGGCCAATGATAATTTTCCCAGTATTAAGGTAAAAGTATCAATTTGAGTGATAATTTTGACCAACTTTTGGCAGAATTTGCCTAAGAGTTTTGGCAGTTGGTATGTTGTCTACCATAAGGTAAAATACCAACCCATTTGCCAAATATTTTAGCTTCCTAAACTGCGTTGTGAAACGTTTGTTCGGGTTGCTGTTAACGTGTTTTGATTGATTTCTTTTGCTTGAGGCATCAAAAATACGGGGTCTACCCGATGTTCCCCAATACCTATGTTCCCCAACACCGATGTTCCCCGAAATCCTTAGGATTAGGGTTAGGGTTAGGGTTATAGGGTAAGGATTTCGAGAAACATCGGTATTGGGGAACATCGGTATTGGGGAACATAAGTATGCACCCAAAAATACAAAACAATCTTAATATATTAAGTCTCCAAGTCGACGATATTTTGTGTATAGAAAAGTGCTTATCAGACAAACCTTTCCTTACGTTTTCTAACTTTTCAATACTAGTGTTCATAGAATCCAAACAACCTGAGAAAAACCTCAACGGGAAGACTAAGGCTAAATGCTTGAAGCATTTATTACTTAATCAAAAGAACTAACAAGTCATAGACGGAACGTAAGGTGTATTCATTTCGCTCTCTATTTAATCCAGAATTCCCTTCATTATAAGATGAAAAAAAAGGCATTGCCTAAAAGAGTAACAGGCCTAAATGGAGTATCAAAACTTACGATTCCATTGCAATCAGGCATATCCAACGTCATTTGTGTTCTTGTTTACTTTATTTTATTTATTTGTATTAATCATTTCTGTTAATGAAACCAAGGAGTTCTCAAAAGCGCCATAAAATTATGATATAGGCACTGTAGCTCGAAAGCCTGAAAAAAAAACTGTAGAGAGAAGACAATGAAGAAAGAAGAAATTACAGTTTTAGAGGTGGGACGAAAACCCAAGAATGATGTTCTAGGGAAAACCCACGGAATTAGGTAGGGACTGAAAACTCCAATCCATAATGGCTCAGGCGGGATTCGAGCCCGGGTCACAGCGGTGGAAGGCGAGGAAAGAACCGCTACGCCAACCGAGGAGTGTGGATAGATGTGGGCTGTTGGAAGGATTCGTAATCCAGGCGCTCAGTGAATTGAATTGCGCCCAAGCAATTTTGGGTGTTCTTTTTTTTAATTTAAATTTTAATTCTTGGGAAAATCACTCAAGTCCGATTTCAGTTTTGCAGTTTTTATCTCAAAGTTGAATTTGAACGCTGTAGTTTGCACTGTTCTATACTAGAGCGCAAATACGCACATGTATGTTAGATGTTGAAAAGCAATCATATTCCTTCTTTCAAAGAAAATGGGCCAGAGAAAACCCTCTTCAAACAATCTCATTCTTCATTCGTCTGCTCTGTGATTGTATTCGGAAAGCAATCCGGGATCACATTGTCCAATCGTGGAGAAATCAAGGTTTTCGTAAAACGAAATGTGGTCTTCTCTTGCTGTGTATTATTAGTTAGGTTGTGGCAGTCCTATACTTGAACTATTTTTGGCGTTTCAATGATTTCTGCGCTAGAAGGAATCAAAGGCCGGGAAACCTTAATTGGAATTTTGAAATTGCATATTATTCACCACGCAGACTGGTATTCATTTGCAATTTACTTTATGTCATTGCTTTCATTTCTCTTCGCAAGTTCCAACATTGAAAAAAAATTACCACGCTTTCAAATTAATATGGCCGACTCGTAAATAAGCCTATAGGGCGAGCAAAGACATTGCCCGCTTAACCTGTATATCGGTACAAACATCCTCAGTTATGCACTCCTGCTTCTACACTTTTTTTCGGGTCAAAATGACACTTCTCTGACTAATTGACCTGGTTATTTTGCCCCGCAAGCCTTGGCAAAAGTGTCTTTTTGAACCAAAACGTGCCATTTGGACCCTGAAAAGTATCAGACAAAATAGAACCCGGATTCCGCTTTCCGGGTTAAATCTGACCTGGGACTTTTGGGAGTGTGGACAAAAAATGTCGTTGCTGACCCGTGAAATGCGGTAAAACTGCTGTTCATGCTCCTTCGCTTCGCTCATCCGCATGAAAAGCAGTTTTGTTCTAATATGAACGACCTTAATACATAACAGAAACACACAATTGGATATTTTCTGATATAGATTTATTAAAGCATGGGAATGTGGCTATGATTCAGGTGCTCTCTGAAACAACACAAAGCACAAAGGGTGGATATTACCTCGGAAAAAGGACTGCGATCAGCGCCAGCCCACTATTGAAGCTATCTTGGAATTGCCGAATCAAAAAGACTCTCCTGCATGTCTTTCTCGACTTTCTAGCTCTAGGGTAGCTCCCTGTAATCTTTCCTGCTCCACCGCGGTCTGTTGCTTTTTTTCTCCTTTCTCCAAATGCCGCTGACTCGATCATCTTTCCGCTATTTATTATCAGCGATTGATAACTACCGGTCTGCTACAAGTTCTGCTTACCGAAATCATCAATTGCCACTCGTAAGTCGGCTTTTTTCTTGGATCAATGCTTGAGTCCATCCAATAGAAATTCGAAATTCGTGTATTCGTCCTTATTAACACTGGGAATCTTTTTTAGAATTTTGATCGAAATACTGCTGAACCATTGCATTCAAACATTGCCGCTTGTGGTTCGTCTTGGGAAGATATCACTGTAAAACTTCACGTGAAGATTATAACCGGTATGATACTCAGCGGTGAAAACAGACCTGAAATGAATGGCTTGGCATTCGTTACCCCTTTTTTTTTTATAGCAGAACATGCATCAGTACACAAGACCTCAATAGTCCGATTAAGAAAGGAATGGAACCCAACCAACGCCCAAACATGCCAGACATTGAGGGCTATTTATTTCTGCCCTCCAAAGAAAAAACTAAATTTTTCCCTAGTATTGACCTTGTGGTTGGGACTTTGCATGGAATTTCTTTAAATTTGTTGGTAATTCCATGTGGTAGTTCCCCTCTAATAGTTTTCAAGTCCTCGCAGGAACTTCTACATGTCACTTGGTGGTTGGTCGGTCGGTCTGTCTGTCTGTCCCCGGAGATTGACCAAAAATGACTGACCAAAAATAATTGACCAAAAATAAAATAATTTACCATAAATAACATCATAGACCAAAAGTAATCGACTAATTGACCAATGTCATGCCGTGGTCATTAAATACACTCTTGCTGACGGTTTTCCAAACAGCGATTTTGCTTAGATCGATGCGCATGCCCGTTTATTTTCTCATATGTCTGTCCCCGAAAATTGACCAAAATAAGCCCCCTAACCTTCTTACAAATTAAATATAACTACCAAATGTTAATTTTCAAAAAAAAAAAAAAGCAAACGAAATCAATTCAATAGTTAACAAAACTTGTTTGTAACAATGCGGAAAGATGTTTGTGAAAAGTTTGTAAATGGGGGCAAAATATGTGCAGTAATGTTATAGTCACGTGGTATTTATCACAAATCGCTGTAAATCTAGTTATACATCTGAAGTATAGTGTTCCATATGTGCCATCGGCGTCGCGTTTTGGGGCGTCGCATTTTTATAACAGGGCTCGTTTTGATAGATGCCATTCAAGACGGCCAGAGCTTATTGTGCACTCGCACTTGTTTCTTTACCAATAACTTTTTATGCTCAGTTCGTTTTGGCAACTTTCAGTAGCAAATTACTCGTGGTGGTATTTTTGTGGTCTTGTCATATGATCCCCAAATAAATTTACTGCCCTGTCGTACAGAAACCACAATCTTATTTTGACAGCATCACAAATTAAATTTTAAGAGTATCATATATAACTGCTATACCAAAGGAATTTATCGTACGGGATGGCACGAACACCTCCCTTTAATCGCACAAGAACCCCCCTTTCTTTTTGTGGTTGCTAATTCATTAAGCATGACTTTCCTTTGCAATTTGCATCCCCCGAGTCCAAATCCTTGTCTTCCTAAATAATTTGTTGTTTGTTGGGCTCGCGGTCCGTGTACCTCAGCTATACCCCACCGGCGGTGGCCTAGTCCATCGATCCGGCCGTAAATCGGCGATTCATTACCGCATAATCGTGCTCGCAAATCTCGGCGAGTCGTGAGCCTGCATGCCTTACACTTATTTGAATTAGAAGGCAAAGGCGCGCGGTATACACACGCGCGGCTCGGCCCGCTCTCAGTGATGAATACAGCTTTTACCAAAGTTAAATACAAGGCCCAACTTCAGGGCTCTGCTAACCACAGAATTACTCGCCTACAAACATTCTGCGCTAACAGCGCTAGCAGAAATATTCTGCGCTAACCCAGTAAGCACAGCGCCTTAGTTACGGGATGTACGCATGCGCAAGCCTAAATGCCTCCCTTAACCGTGAAATACGCATACCGTAAGCACGGAATTATCTTCTACACTAAGCAGGTATTATTCGCTTACGGTAAGCAGAGCCATGACATTCGGCCCAGCTCGGCTGTTAAGTCTCTAAAATGAGTATTCACGTTACAAGTTCAGAAACACCTCCTTTTAAAAATTTAACTCCCCATATATTTGTAGGCCTATTCCATTTCTTCCTTAAGAATATTTTTTTTCTAATCTTGCAGCAAATAAGAACTAGAATAGAAAGCAATCTGTGGCTGACATTAGGTTGTCCATAAAAAGGCAGTGAAAGCTTAAACAAGCAGTAGTTGAGTGAAATGGTCATTGTGCTGACTTTAAATGCCAAGAAACCGATTTCTATGGACGGGTATACGATATTCAATACTCGATGCAGTAATAGTTTGGAATGCGTTTTCGATTTCAGGATCGGATTACTAAAGTGAACTTACAAAAATTGTGCATACATGTAGTGTGAATATTACGGGAACATTGCGATGGCTCACATAGGCCTATAGGTTATGAAAGGACGTCTAGTCCGAATGCACCGGTACCCGAAGAGTCATTTTGGTTGAAAAACCGAAATTAATAGCCGTTCCAAACATTAACGTCGTTTGCTCTGCTTTTAGTATGAAATGTTTGAAAACAAAGCTGATGTTTTGTTACTAGTTTTATTTCACCTATATTTGAGGGAGGAAAATCAAATTTTGCTATCAGGGCGAAATTCTGTCTCAGCATAATATTTTAAAGGTTGAAATTGAGATTAGGACTAAAATGTCGGTTTTTCAATACTGGATTAGCTTAATTAATTTTCTTTAATCTGTAGTTTACTTTTGTGTAAGCCTGGTATATAAGTGAGAGATTAAAAACAGGCATTGCTCCTTCCAAACGTCTAACCGTTTTGCCATACACTAAGTACGGAGGATTGAAGAGAGTTCTATGAATCAAGCAAACTTTGATACTTCATAGACCAGCTTTTGTCAACCATTTTGGCCAAATATGGTTAAAACTGGTCACTCTTCAAACAGCCAACAAATACCCGACTTAAAAAGAAAAATATTGGACCCAAATATTCGTTCTCCCACGCATTATCAGTGTAATACATAATGTCTTGGATGCTTGGTTGTGCGCCTGCGTGCATAAATTTGAATTAAGCGGATAATTGGCGAACTGCTGGCCAATCAATGTTACAATTAAGCTGCACAGCATTGGACATCGTTTCATCGCGGATTGAAAAACGCTCATGCTTAGATCCTAAACCGAAATTTCTGAAGAAACGAACACAATGTGGGTAGTAAAATTCCATGCGCACGTGTCATGCGCAAACGGAAGTGCTGACCCCATGTCACCGGGTAAACAAAATCTCTTCCGTGGGAGCTTAAGCAGTGGCCTTATTCTCAGGAAAAACTCTTATAAGAAATCATAATAAAGAACATGAATTACGACAATTGGTGTCTTAATTTAATTGAGGCGCACTGCCTCCTGCGATCTATACCATCCAAATGAATTGTCCATTATTTGACACTTCACGCCTATTTCAATATTTGATTGTCATCCGCATACGGATACAAGTACGTAGGTCCGTTTGAAATATCAATCTCACAAGGTTTTTTTTTTTTTAATACTTCACGTGATCTTTAGCTTGGATTCAGAAAGGAAGAAATGTAATCGCATGACGATTCCTTTGTTGGGAATTAGTCATAATTCTCAGTTGAAATATAGGATTGGTACTTGCAGCATCTCTGCAATCTTTGCTGTATCGGCGGAACCTGTGATTGATTACCCTTTGTTTAAAGAGAGAACGTTTGCATACCAAGATTTGCATAAGTGTACTACTTGAGACAGCAACGTCTCGCAAACACATTTGCAGCATCAGGCATTGTCGAAAGGTGGGGAGCACATTATTTTAGAATTGGTATTAATTCATGGCTGCAGACGTGTACCGACTGGAAAAAGACTTGAATTGTGCTGTAAAATACAACCGTTTGTTACAAATGTATTGCTCCAAATCGCTTTTAGCCCAGGTTTACACAACTTTTTTGCGCTACAAATTCGCACAGAGGCTGAACACATTTCAACTCGTGCAAAAAGCGCCACGAATTTGACGTCACGTTAAATTCGTTTCGCAGTAAGAATGAACAGACCTTGATTTGAAAAAAAAATCGAGAATAAGCAATTTAGAATAAAGAAATATATTTTTGATAATTATCTATGCCATAACAAGAACCCTATTACTTCATTGATGATCTTCACTAATAGCGGGCTGACACACCAAATTATGGCTTAAGTCATACCTTACTGCAACTGCATTTTATGAAATGTAATGTTATTCAAATATTGATGTCCTTATTAACAGTGGAGCGGCACACAGTAAAAAAAATATCTCACCAAACTACGCTTTATCTCCGTCATTTTAGCTTATGGTTAAATTCAGTGCCAAACGAGAAGTGTGCTTCAGGCAGATTGTATACAGCGACTAAAATTTATGTTTCTAAACTTTATTTAATTTGAGCATTTAGTGGATGAAAACAGCGGATCTGTTCTTTCTTTATCCCATTGATTATCATATATGATTATCATTTTGTTTCCAACTATGAAATCAAAGATTCCCCCAGTAGCTCGCAAGCCTGAGGAAACTTGTAGCGAGCCCAAAGAAGTATTTACAGTTTTAGAGGTTGGTGAAAACCCCAAAAGAATGTTCTGGGGAAAACCCACGGAATCAGGTAGGGACTGAAAACCCTATCATTGTAGACCAGGGCAGGAATCGAACCTGGACCATAGAGTTGGAAGATGAGGAAAGAACCTCTGCGCAATCAAACCTATACGAGTTGTTTTCTGTTTTTAATGTATTGCAAAAGTAGGACTTTTTTTCTTCCCCATGTTTTCTTCCCTACGTAAGCTAGTTTTGATCTGTAACGTCAGAATGCATGGGCGGTGAAAAGACATTTGAGCATCGAAGTGGGCGATTTCATTTTGAAGACGCAACACCTTTTTTTTCAGGGGATGGTGGAATCTGAATCTAATCAAATCCAATCGATGCTCCTCTGTCGAAAGGACTTAAAACATTTCGATTGAGAGCACATGTTGGACAATGTATGCATATAGGGAGGAAACAAATGGGCAAAACAGATAAATTGATTGCGAGAACGTGCGTTCTTTTAAGTTTGGCCGGGGCTTTATATACTGGGAATTATCGAATAGGAGGAGTCTGCAGGTACATTCGATTGACGCTACTTCTTCCAAAGTGACGCTTCCGGAAAAGCCGAAGAGTTAATCGAAAGCGCCGTATTGTCGAGAGACAACATAAACCTACACACAGGAAAAGTCGGGATGTAGAAGCACGCGCAAGAACTATTCAAACGGCGAAAATATGGGCTCGTGTTGGATTATCTGAAATGATTTAGGTGGGTTTGGATTTGCTCAATGATTGTCCTTGCATTAATCACCATTCCTGCGGTAATTAGCTAGTGAGGCTGAAAGACAATCAGGAAGATGCCCAACGTCATTTTTTTATTTCTTTGGTGAAGTGCATCGCCCCCACAAGACGTGCCGTGCCGGCCATCTTTGCCTCGCCTGACACAGGCCGCATCCGACGGTAGAGATCTGATTGCCAGGCCGGCATTGACGTGGTGCGATGCGTAATCGTGACAGGGCATCAACTAGCGGACTGAACACGCAATTCCCCAGAGAGTATTCCGGGCCAGGGTTTTTTTTTCGGCGTTGGGGCGTGTGTTCCAAAGTTGCGCTTATCGACACTCCTGATCTGATCTCGGCTGTCGATCCTGCACGCTTGATTACAAAAGGCCGAGGTTGAACCCTCGCGTTGAATTCTTTGTATTTTCACGCGAGAAGGTAATGGACTTGAGCTTTTCTGTAGTTTTTTTTTGATGGAAAATCCACCTGCAGGTGTTGGTGGCTTGTTTGGATGAGACGCAGCAAAGAAATGTATCTGAATTTCATTGCTTGCTCTCTCGTCTTTTCCGCGAAACAATAAAATATTAAAATATTCGACTGCAATGTTTCATTTTGATAAAAGAAACAGGATAAGTACAAATACTTGGTGGTCTCGCCCACGATAAAAAAAAACACTCCTGGTTAACATCCTTGCTCATCGACACAAATGCCAATCCAAAGCCATGATGGACTGAAGGACTAGAATTGGAGTTGAGATTGAAATTGGAGTTGTAATTAAGGACAGTAACAAATTCGGAGATCATTTGCGGTGTATAATTATAAGAAACTTCACATTTTACCACAGTGTTGGTACTAGTTGAATCCGGCTCTCCGGGAGGTAAACATGGTTAATACGTTTTCCTTCTAATTATCATAAATGAGCCTAAATGCTTCAATTCAATGTGAGCCCCTTCCAAACGCGAGTATCCTCGATGACGCCATTTGGTGCACTTGTCCTATGTTTTCCGTGCCTCTTCAAATACGACTCAAGATTATGTACAAAGTCTACAGGGAGCCAGGTACATTCATTGTAAATCACATACATTTTCAGTTGATATTGTTTTAGTTCTGCACAATGTTACGTGATTTTGTTGCCTTTGGAATGCCCCTCCTAGTAGCTTTCTTCATAAACCTATCCGGGTTGGACTCGAACCCAAGACCACCCGCTTGAGACAAAAGAGGCCTTACCATACAGCAAATATGAGCCTCTTGATGCCGGCTTGTACTCTTTCCTGACAAGCCCGTTCACGGAAGCATCATACACGTACACTTGACGTCCTTGAATGTCAATCTCAACGTTCAAATTTACATCACTCAGGCAAAATTCCCTAAAAAAGTCAAGTGGCGTATATAGAATTGACTCAATCACAGATCTGTTCAGGGTCGTCGATTGAGGGACCTTTCTTGAACGGAAGAAAGGGGAATTCTGAAAGTTTCGTGAACATTAACATTCTTGAAAATACAATGTGAACTGACCGTTGTCCCCTGGTCGTGTTCCCCACCCCTCCCTATGCAGGACAGGTGGTGTTTGGCCTGGCTTGGTGCGCTTCGGTGTCTGGCTGCTTCTGACGCTACTGGTCGCTCAAGTCCTCCTGGGAAGCTCAGCAACAGCAGATGAGAAAAGCCGATTCCCTAAGTTCATGAGATGGGGGAAGAGATACAGCCCAGGTCAGTGGAAAATCGTCATTGGTTTATGATACAGATGGATAATGAAGCCGTAGTTGGCAACAATATTTTGCCAAAACTTGCATATTAACACTCTCATTATGTAAGAAAGAGGCGTATTTGTTAAGTCCTTGTAGCTTTTGTTGTTTATTTTGTATTTTCAACAATCCAACGGGTCGGCAAAAAAAGCTCTAATTTCATGGCGCTGCTTAGGCCTAACAGTTAGCAGAAAAGTTGTGCTTACTATGACCAGACAATTATGCACTATTTTCATGGCGTGGATGTGCTATTGGTTGCGCGCACATGGAGATTTATATTGTTCCGGCATTGATTGAAGTAGACTTGGTGCCAAGTTGGTAAGTGTTTTACGTACGGTTACTGGCTCCGCGCACGCAAAATATCGCTGCAATGCGCGTAGTCTGGTTCCCAGACCAAATGATGCTGACTATTGATGATCAATTACCGACTTACCGACTTGGAGAAAATGTTTTCAATTGTGTACACAACATATGGGAGTATTTTGAATCGCTAGCGAATTCTACGCGAGCACTTTGATTGGTTCAGATTCCAGAGTGTATTCTAGGCGCCACGGAAGATTGTTCCCATTACTTCGAGGGTTTGTACTTTGTGTTGTGTAACATTACAAAATTCATTATAGGGCATACACGAATCAAATAAATCAAGTATATCACAATGATACATTTTATTTCTATACACAATTGACCAAGCTGAGTGTATTGGTCGTTAAAACGTCTCCAGATCTGCAAACATCATCAAACAATCTGCGTATCGAAAAGAACTCCCCATGCATGTAACGGAAGGAATGAGTCCTCATTTGCATAGCGGTGCGCGATTGGATCTCACCAAGTTTGCGGTAAATAAACTTGTAACGGGATTTGAAAGTATCGGCTCGGGAATTAGTTTTCCGATCACCGTTCGTAGTTTGTCGCCTCACACATTCGGGATGGGTTTAAGCCAATGTCCATGGGCGTCCAGAGGGGGAGCAAGGGGGAGTGCTTCCCCCCCCCCCCGGAAAAGCCCAAAAAAAAAGAGGGAAAAAAGAGAAAAAAAAAGAAAGACAAAGAGGCGCGTAGTCGTATTGCTGTTAGAATATGCTGGAAAAGAACAAGGATTTCGGTGGGGGGGGGGGGGATGTACTTTGCCCCCCTCTAGAAAAAAATCCTGGCGACGCCCATGCCCATGTCCCCCACTTAGCCCTCTCCTAAAATCGTATTCATAATTATTAGTCGGATATTCCACATATCCCAATATGACAAAAACAAACTTCTTGAAAACTTCAAATACTTTCACTTTCCCGAAAAGTCCAAAAAAGTTTTGCCCATTTTTTCTTCACACTTCTTGACACAATGGAGTGCCACATTTAAAGTTTAAAACATACTTATCTCTCTGGATCATTTCAGACTTATCGTCAGATCATCGAATGTGACACTAAATTATTCAAGAATGAGAAGAAAATGCTTTCTGGATTACTTTTGGAGGATTAAACGCTGCGATGATTCATCGCAGCGTTTAATCCTCCAAAAGTAATCCAGAAAGCATTTTCTTCTCATTCTTGAATAATTTAGTGTCACATACCGTCATAATTATACATAAATGTACTCATATTCTGGTTAGTTGGTTCACTTTAAATTCACAATGTTAAGTCAAAATTTTTTCAAATGTTATAGAATCAAAATTCATGAAGATATCGTGATATTGCTTTTTTTTGCCTCTAGTCGTCGAAGGTAAATGTTTTTTTCTGACGTAGTCTGTTTTAATTAAGAAGCTTGAGTTTCCATTTCTCGTGGAAGGACATTAACTGCGTATATTAATCTTGTTGGAAATGGTCAGTCTGGATCGAGGAGGTCTCAAACGAATCAATCTCATTAAACTGTGAACACAAGTCTACCTTATAAACTTTTCTGGGAAAAGTAATGGAAGTCTTATCTTGAGGGCCGAGCCAGTCCTTCCCAAGTTTTTCCAAACCCACTTTTCTGTTTGTCTGGCTAAAGTAAATTATGTTGCCGGGATGAAAGCGGAACTAGGCTGTCATAATACATGCACGGGGGGGGGGGGGAGTTGCACACAGCACTCCTAAGCCCCACCTTAGCATATGGGCCTTGATATCACCTTGAACCAAATCCGAAACCAAACGTATAATATGGGATAGGATTTGCAAGCACAAAACCCCCGCTTGATTTTCTTTGAAATATTGTGAACGAATCCGCTGTTCTGATGCCCGACCGCCGCGCCAACGGTAGATCTTCACGATCTATGGCCATGATGTCAGTCAGCATAAACCCGGCTCTTGATTAATGAGGGGATCATTCCTTAAGTACATATCGCTATCGTGTTATCTGTCGTGCGTGCGGCGGAGCCCCCGCTCCGGACCGAGTAGGACGAGTAATTGAGCCGGCTTGCTGAAGGGGCTGGTCGTGATCTCGCAATCTCGCGGTCGTGGTGTAGGATGGTTGCGGCCATGAACGGGTTTTAGAGAAAGAAAGGGAGACTGTCGGGCCGGAGTTACCTGTGGACCAAGGGCGGAGCTAGCTTCCAGCAAATAGGATGGGGGTTTGAAATGGAGGGGGGAGTTTGAGTGAAGGTTTGGGATCCGTGGGCTCCCCCCCCCCCCCCCCCCCACCGGAACATTTGGGAAACTACTGTGCTTTCTCCTGCATTCAAAGGCATTTTTAAAATAATTTTATTTTTTGGACCCATTGTAATAGTGTCATCACATTAGTCTGCGGTTGAACGTGGGGGGGGGGGGGATCCGCTTCTGTAGACCCTAGTGATACCATTTAGTGGGAACAGAAATAACTGAACGTACACTCACGATAGCCACCGGTAATGACGAAAACATGGTAAAAGCTTTTACATGTATTCGGTTTGCAGAGCACACCCGACTTCAGAAAAATAGGAAAAAATACCCAGAACATCGCAAGATATACATCAAATTCAAGCTTGATTCACCCTCTTTCACTCTCTGTTAAATTTTGAGGGTTTACCGACGATATCTGGGTGATTTTTTTCCTTCTAAAGATTACCACCCGTCGGGGGCGGATCCAGAGGGGCCAACGGGGGCCATGCCCCCCCCCCCCCCCCCCCCCCCCGTCGCAATAAAGGCAGGCACTGCACACACCACCATCTTTTTCTCAAACAATTTTGGTTAAAGTGGTCAGAAATTGGCTCAGATCGCACCACAGAGCATCAGTTCTAGAATCCATTTTTTTTCCGGGTCCCTTCAGCGGGCCCCGAACCCCACGCTGTAATTTTTTGGACTCACTTTTTGGGGGACCAACATTGTTTTTTGCTCCCCCCCTCCAAAAAAGAAATTGTGTTCTGGATCAACCGATTGCCATCTTAAAAAACGATGCCTCCGCTATGCAACTTTCTGGTTAAATTTCATCCCAAATTAGGTTCAAAGGCCGGTACAGCTTGAAACCTTCTACCAATCTTCAAGAGCGGCTTAAAGTGCAGGGGCTTCAAAACTCTCAATTTAGAATTAAAAACATGGCAGCATATCGGTACAATTCGTGATTTGGCCGGCGTGGGCAATTTTGGACCTGTTTTTACTGATCTGCACTCTTCTGAATCACTGCAAACGGCCAAGCAAATTGCTTGGCGCTGTTTAACATTCATAGCAAATATTATGCTAACTTTAAGCATTTCATGACGTAAATTGCGCGCACATGGAAAATTGTATCATTGCGTCACTAATTTATTTACATATAAAATTATTTCTCTGAGATTAGCGTGCCTGCAGCGCAGCGAGGGAGCTCGGGCCCAATTTCATGGTTCTGCTAACCACAGCATTCCGCGCTTAATACGACCATCATTCTGTGCTAACAGCGCTAGCAGAAACAAAACATCTGCCTTAACCCTTAATCACAACAACGAATCACCACAGGAAAGAACATTTACAACAGCAAAATATCCAAAATTCTAGCAACTTTTGGTGACATCACACTTTTGCTCAAGAATATGGAAATTTGCATTAGCCTAAAAAGCAAAAAGGCATCAAACTACCCCTGAAAATGGAAAAACGAAAATTGAAAGTAAGGTTATGGGCTTGGGCTTGGGCTAGGGGTTGGGCTTGAGTTTTGGGTTGGGGTTGGGTGTTGTTGCTGGGGTCGGAGTTAGGGTTAAGTGCGGCGTACAGGTTAGGTGAAGGGTAGGTTTAAACTCTGGATTACGGTAAAGTAGACTGTCCCACTTAGGTGAAAAAGATGGTGGTCGGAACAACATCTTAGTGCTATTCCACCGTTAAAAATTAAAGGTGAAACTGTGGTAAATTACAATTTAACTTCTGCGTTCTCGGAGAAAAAAACACTCTTATTCATGAGGATCTGAAAGTTATGCAAGGCATCCAACCGTTCACGGATTGCCAGAGATAAATGGAAAGACGCAAAAGGAAGACCTTTTTTTCCCCAGACCTTCAGTAAGTTGGAAAAAAATAACAATGAACGCCATGGTAAAGCTACCGCACGCCATCCGTGACTTGCGTTGAGTTTAATCCCCGGGCAGATTACAATCTGCCGAGAAGTCAAGGATTGCAACACCGTGATTCCTTGACGGAGAGACGGCGATTGCGTCTGCTGTCAAGTCCAAAATACGCGGTCTCTCTGTGAATTTTCCCAGTTCGCCCTTGCCAATTTAGTTGTTATGAATCCGCACCACTCGAGGTCGCTGATTTTTAGGCCTCTAGAAGTCTGTCTTAATTATTGATCGGTCGGTCGGTCGGTCGGTCGGTTCCCTAATATTGACCAAAATATTTGACCAAAAATTTACCAAATGCCATGCCGTCGTCATTAAATGCACTCTTGACGAAAGTTATCGGAAAATGGGCTTTGTCTTGATCGATGTGCATGTGCGTCTAGTTTGCATATGTCTTTTCCCGGAAAATTGACCAAAAAAGAGCCCCCTAAGTTTCCCATAATATATAACTTCCAAATTTTAATTTAAAAGACAAAAGCAAACAAAAGAAATGAAATACATAACAAAATTGTTTGTAACAATTCGTAAAGTTGTTTATGAAAAGTTTGTACATGAAGGCAAGTTAATGTGCAGTAATGTTATAGTCACTTGGTATATAGCGCGCTATTTTTATGGGAAACTTAGAAGGTTTATTTTGGTCAATTTTCAGCGCGTGATTTTCGCGTGGGACGGCGACCGGGCTTGTACATGCAAGGCGGCCGGAGTTTATTGTGCACTCGCACTTGTTTTTCTACGAGAGAAAAATATTAAAATTACACTTGTGTTCAGAGTTTAATTATATAAACACATTTCTAAACACTCAATCATACCCGCTTTTTACGCTTGAATTTACGACATGTAGATTTGTTAGATTCGCCGATGTCTGTGACATTTTTATTATGCGAAAACCCGTTGTATGCCACCAAGTATAAAAACGGCCTATGGGGTTTACGTCGAAAGACCATGTTTTCCTGATGCCAATAACGGACTTTCATACTGTGGGAATAAAATCTAAAACATGGCGAAGATAAAACATGGGTACAAAAACGTACTGCAAAAAAAATCAATGACGATTAATTATTTCAATATTAAAATAAATACCTTGTAAGATTTGACTAAAAAAGAGTAAAACGTCTGTATTTTGTTGTTACGAAAGAAACGTGTTGAAAAAACTAATCATCATTGATTAAACCATATATAGATGGGTAAAATCAATTATGATTAGTAATTAGTAAGTACAATTATAGTCAGTGGGTTGCGGGTTTCATTTTTATGAAACTAAATGAGCTTAAAGGAACGCATGCGAATTGTGCACAAGTGAGGTTACACAGTAGAAACGTCTGTGGTCGCTGAATTAATTTAATTTTATAGAGCACATTTTAGAATAAAACTCTTTAGCTGTCAAAAGATGTTGATATTAAACTGTTTTTGTGTGTGTCTTTATTTCACCCCCAGATTACGTGGTCGTAGATGACAACGACTTTAAAGACGAACTGAAAATCCCAGTATTCGGAACCGAAGAGGTTTTGTGCAAAAACGTGGCGTCGGGCGGCGTTTATCGCTGCGGCAAAGTAGCCGCGTAAGGTATGTAAAGGCAAGGTGCGCAAAGTATTGCAAATCTCACTTTCATAAAAAAAAAATGTCCAGTATTCTTGTTGTACTTGTAACAGGGAATCTGCAAGCGATTGCAGTGAACTAGACAATGCAGACAATAGACAAGACGTCACAGATGATCGCAAAGCATTCACAGACAGACCGTTAACATGTCGCCGACAACCCGCACGCAGCCCCAAAACCCTTGAAAATGCCCCATTGCCCTGGAAACTTTCTACAAATCCTTTTGCGTCTGGTAGGAATCCCCTTTTACCAAATTGTTTTGCAATGCGCTATGAGTATTTGGCAATGGTTGTGACGTCATAACAATGTTATGCAAAGCAGGGAGATTTTCGAAACCACATAGAGCTCAATCTCTGGCTACATCTCTGGCTTCAGAACCATTTAGGCCTTTAACGTCAACAACAATTGTAAATAAACAATAATTAACTGACATGTTATGGGATTTGATGGGCACATAATTGCAAGAGTCCCCGTACACAGGGCCTACTCTCTGAAGCCGACGTTGGATACCTCGGCCGAGATTTCGAAAAATCCTCAATTGAGTTACCAATTTTTTTTTTTTTGTAGCACATAACTCAAAAGGCAGTTTAATTAAAGCTGAAATCACATTTTAAAAAATCCAATCTTTTCCAATTTGTTTTTCAGAACCGTTCCTCACCGAACACACGATGCGACCTGACGTTTCTCAACATTCATTTCTGCACGCGGACGGGAGGATGTTAAACTGCGACCACGGACACATGACGACTCCAAATTTTAACTTTTGATTTGTTTTTCTCTTAAATGTCGATAAAAGGTTCATTTGTCGCTATCGTAGCCGTATTATGATCGGATATAATGCCTCAAAAAATACAGAATACACGCTTATATACGATAAATAAATATTTTTGTCGCTCCTTAAAGATGTAGATTAAAAAAAAAAGACATGCAATGCAATATAAGTAATAGAAAGATAATGCTGCACGGTCGAATAAGCCTGAAAGGAACAGAATTGTTTTTCTTCAAAAGTAACGAAAAATCTCGGACATTCTGATATTCATTTCGTGTTTTTGTCCTGGGCTTCATGTTTTTGTGCTTTTGGAATGGGCTTCATATCATGTAAGTCTTCTGTTCAGCATTTTGGTTCAAAACAAGATAAAACGGAGGGCTGTTATGGACAGAAGCTTCGTAGCTGTTTCCATGGGAACATCATGAAGCAATTATTTTCCAAGACTATTTTCAGTAAGCAGATCCTAAAATAAAAATACAGGTGTAACGATACGAAGAAAAATTCTCCTAGCCAATGATCTGCACACGGAAAGAATATCCAGCAAAAAAAATTCTTTAAAACTGCTGACTTATGAAAATAATTGTGTACAAAGTTGACAGTAAGTTTCTTTTACAGAGACGCCAAAAATGGGTGTTAGTGGATCTAATACTGCAGCCCGATCCACTGTAACTCCTACCCCCTACCCCTCCCCATACCGATGCCTTTATTTGGGGCATTTTTTCAACATAACTTCAGAAACTTAACAATTACTTTTAAACACTGTTTTATGCCTTAGGCTGTTTCTATACGCCCGACATGCATGCTCTGTGTAGATGCTAGGATTTATTATTTAAACTAGCTGCCCTTACTTATTTCAAATACAACAGTCGGCCACTGAGCATCCACAATCAAATCTCTATCGGAAAAGACTGCTTTCTTTTCATAGATTTGTTTTCTGGGATATGAGTAGTATTTTGACAGTTTCAAAGGAAGATGAATCTTCAACGCTTTCAGTTTTCTTATTTTAGCGAGATGCTGGTGGTGCTTGGATTATAATCTTCCATTGGACAAAAATAAAGAGATAAAAGTCGTTCAATTTGTACTGAGCCAGTGCGGTATTTCAACTGCGCATGCGCACAATGATATGGGTCACGAACCTTGACTCCATGGGCTGTGTGTGCGTTCCTCTCATAGAGATATATTAAATTAATATAGCTCTATGGTTCCTCCACTAATATCGCGCAAGGCATGATGGGAACATAGCGTTATGTTTAAAAATAACTCTATGTGTAATTTTATTCTATATCTATGGTATTTACGAGCATGGACTTTTACGTCACATCGCGTCAGCGATTTTATCCCGAATGACCTTTGACCTGGACTACTTCATCAAGATACCGAACTTGCTAATCACTGGGTTGTAATCCATCATGGGATTGTGCCGTTCAAACATTCATAGGAACAGATTAATGTGGTAATTTACAGGTAAGGATGGGTACATCCGCCTCGAAGATGGTGATATTACGAAGTGTAAATATCGGCAAAAACGAAATTCCATCATTGCTTGATGTTTTGAACAAGTTATTTAAAATTAGTTGTGTTTCAATTTAAGTATTTTAAAAAAATTACCTATTTGTTGGGAATTCTTGTAAAGTTAACAACACAAATTGTAAATATTGCACAAAATGTTACTGCTCACCCGTCCCATTCTGTCTTATCGTATAAGGCAAGACCCAATTAGTGTTAGTGTGACCACTATATCGAACTATAATTAATACTAATATAGATTATGAGGTCTCTTGGGCTTACTAATGAGAAATGTGGCTCTCTATATAAAACACTGATGACGTTGGTAGAATTAGAAGTACATGTATTATGAAATTGCCTAAACGCACCGCCTTCATCAACACATTAAAAAAATGATGATAGAAATAAACAGACAAAAGACGGACTTCAAAATGGAGCATGTTTTCAATGTTACTCCAGCACTGAATGCCCTCCGAGGCATTGTCTCCATTTTTGTTATGAAGCGGAAACTATTAGTCGACGGAATCAGTTCTCAACAAACAAAGCTGAGGAAAACTAGACAGGTATTTCCACATTTGTTTTCGCTTGGATCGGAGTGGCTCTCGCTTTCAAGCATTGTGCACGTTACGGCGCTCCATACTTTTTCCCCCGCCTAGCCTCGATAACAGCTTACTGTTGATATTATACACGCAGTGCTGGCCCCCGGGTGCGATGTTCCTCAATGTAAATTGAGCCGCCCCAGGAACTTTATATAATCGATTTTGACCCTAAAATTAAAACCCGTGCACGGTTAACAACATCAACTTAATGAAATCGGCTGTACAGCATAACTCTCAAACTTTATGAGGTCAGCTGTTTTGATCTCTTCAAAGGAGATATAATCTACACGTAATCAACATAATAGCGTCTTAATTAATTTGGATTAATTAATTGATTAATTAATGATGTGCAGGTTGTAGATTGCGAAAGAGTTTCAAACATGTCCTCTGAATACAAACTTGCGATTCACTTCCGTTGATGTTTTTGTTAATGTTTTTGTTAATGTTTTTGTTAATGTTTTTGTGTTATGGACAAAAAAATACATGTGTATTACCCACTGCAAAACTTTAAAAGCATTACTGAATTCGATTTGGTTCATGCAAACCCTATACCGTGACGCGACACTACGTAAGTACTTATTATGGAAGACGTTTAATAATCCCAGCTTATTATCGTTTCCTTAAGTCCCGAATATAACCTTTGTGATTGAGAAGTCATAGAAAATCTGTAGCTTGTTTTGGAAAATGAAGGCATAATTATATATGATGATAATAAGACCATTTTGGAACAGAAACCATTAGAAACCAGGGGTTTTATATGCCTTCTACTGCCAAACCAACAGCAGCTAAATGAGGATTTCATCAATTTGCTGTTTTAAGAACAGTACCAATTTCATATTCTTTCAGGATGGTTGCCGAATCAGGAAGTATTTCCATGCGACGGTTCTATCTTTGTCAACGCAAGACATGCGTCTAATAATATACGCAACCCGCTTTTTTTTCCAAACAAGAACTTGTTCAGCCCTGTTGTTTAAAGATGCTCATCAAAACAGCATGGTCAGCTGTGGTTATGTTAGCACAAAAGAACAGGTGGAGGGGACCGTAATTACAACTAATTAAACATCCCGTCCCAAGTTCATTATTCCGACGAGTCCGTGTTTGCTCACTCTTTGTTTGCTAATCGTGTATCTGTCGTAATGTTGTCTTTGGAGTGATAGAGTGCTGTTCATACAAAGTGGGCGGGAAAATTGATCAGTCCGATTTGAGTCAAAGCAGGAGACCTGCCTAACTTAAAGTCGGTCCATCGGTGTGATATAAATCCGGGGTTCGTAATTTGGCGCCGTAACTATTGTACGCATGCGCACTACTCTTCCAAGCTACTTTGAATGTTTACCAAAATAGAAGCTTTCTAGGGGAAATGTAAACATTTTAATGATGAAGCCATGGGAAAAGAAACAGATTTTGGCATTGTTTGTGTGTTTCAGTTACCTATCGAGACTTGTACTCCACCCACATCGCGCTTTTTTTCCGGCTGCGACGTCATTGGAAAATAACTTGACTTAACTCATGGCCAGAAATGAGTACAAATGCATCGTGTTTGGGTTTGGGAGGAGGTAATTATGTGTATTTTTTCCTGATGATGTCACAGTCAGAAGGTGATATGTTTTTGTGGGCGTGGCATAAGGACAATTGTTTTCTGTCTCAAAAAAAATACATAAAACACAAGTACTACAAACTCTCTAGGCCAGGCTAACCGTATTCGACATCAGCACCGTTTATGGCATTTTCCTATTCATAATATGAAGGTTTTTTTAGTGCGAGTCAGAAAGAATTCAGAGGGTTGAGAAACCGTCTACAATCACGTGATATATCATATCTACAATCGCGTGACACATTCAGCGGTGTAGTGTCGCCCATCACTGGAAATTTGCTAGTTCTTTATCATGAGCGGCCTTATTTTTTTTTAACGAGTGCTCCTTTTTATCGTCGCGCGAACATCTTGAGTTGTGCCGCCGTGAAGTCCGCAACCTTTTGTCCGATAGTGTCCGCTTGAGCTTGGGGGTTACCCCATAGAAAGATGGTGTCCAGCCTCCAGCCCCCCCCCCCCCCCCCTCCCCAAGTTTTGAATTTATGGAGGCTGCGTGCCGGTGAAAAAAATCTGCTCCAAAAATTTATGGTGAGAACGCTGGCTACGCCGCTGGATACATTGGAGTTGCTTGTTGCACATGGTGTGCTTTCACGCATGAGAGTTACGGCTACTGAGTAAATAAGGGCGCAGGAGAACAAATGGCCGCGGGGAAGTAACACAACTTTAGCCCACCTGAAGCCATAACATCAGCATCCGAATAATTCAAGAGTTCTTGGGGGATTTACATTAAAAAATACGAATGGATTGTAAAAAATAATAACTGGGAAGTCTGCTAATATGCTGTACCAAGAAAATTCACCTAATAGACCGTCTCCAGTCCACGTTCACTTTTATGTTTACGTCTTGTTAGGCCATCAGCCTGGGGGTTTGGTCGGTATCAAATCAGGGCATAAACGATTATAGCGAGCATGCGCAAGGTGTATCGCCCCTAGAAGGGTAACAAGCATTTTGATGGACATTTTGAAAAAAGGGTGATAACACCCAAAAAGCTACCACCGCTGCAATGCTATCACATATTTTCCAACTCTGGAGGTGTTCCAACTCTGGAGGTATATACCTTGCCAAAAATCGCTATGACGATTATTCCCCTCATTTGATACCGGTGGCCAAAATTTTGGACCGAGGCTGATGGCCTATGTAGCAAACACTGACTAGTCTCACAGACTCCCACGTATGAATTTATCCCATTTTTATCTGCGTGATCAATAAGTTAAAGTTGGTGAATACGTGCTTTTTGGGTGTGGCACCTTGAAAAATAGAGTTTCAAATTGAATTGATAATTTTCTAGCATTACATAAGTTATGAGCTTTCCAATGAGACATCGCATGAAAAAATTGGCCAATGACAAGTAATATATTAATTAATTTCATCTTTTGAATTAAGAGCGGGACGATAATTCGTTCTGAATAGTGTGCGCAATTTCTGAACAGGAGCGCGCCATTTAAAACCAATTTTTAAAACTGTTTAAAGGCCTGCAAAAACAAACAAGCAAATTTATTTGTTACAGGACATTATATTCCTTTCAATTTCGTTCGGAAAAGAAAATCGAAATTTCGAAAAAGCACGTACATAATACCAACTTTAGGTCAACATGTTTAATTTAATAATATTCATCAATTAGCAATATTTTCAATATATTGCAAATTGTAATGCTTTCTTTTTGCTCGAAATACCCATGTATTGCCCTTCAGAGTATAGTCACACACTGAATGTTGATAATTTATATTATTCACATTGGTTTTAAGGAGGTCCCGCGCGTGTTCAAACATCCTTTGCGTGGTGTGCAACCGCTCACGACGCTACAGTTGATGTGAAATAATGCGGAGTCAAGTTTCGCAGTTTCTGTTCCGCGAAGAGATAATTCGACAAAGTATCTGCGTGCGTATTGATTTATTCTCAATTCTAGCAGGTGTCTATTGGGGAACAACCACCATCTTTAGACTCATTCACAGTACTGTTGCAGTTTCAGAATATTCTCTACAAATGACAGTGGCTTCAATATGCTTGAGTGCTAAGATACTGCCATGGTAGAAGGGCCACTACACGACGGCCAAAAAGGACGAAAGATAGGATACTGATCTTAAAACCCATCAGAGATCGAAGCAGCAATGCTGAGGTTGAAAAACATTATTGAACACATTTTTACAACTCAAACAAATCTGTGTGCGTATTTTTCGTGACGTCAACTTCGCTTTGCTGTTGCATTCGTGTGAAGTAATGGACCCCGCCGTCTTCGCCTTAAGTCCAACCAGTTCTGACCTCAATGGTGCAGTTTCTTACAGGGCAGAATTTAGCTGAATTGGCCGCGGATGGCGGGCAAAGTCATGATAGGAACTTCAAAATGAAGCCAGTCGCACGCCCTCAGCACCGCACCTCCACATGCATTATGCATCCGCGATTGATCCTGCTGCACGAGATGCCGTCTGTGACATCTTGCTTCGTGTCTTCTCCCCGATAGCTGTTTAATGTCAACGATTGATCGAGCACTGCGTGCGTATACAGGATTCATGGGGAGTAAGTGCCGTGATTCCGAGAGCCATTCTGACTTGGGAGTGGCTGCGTCGGCACGCAGGAGGGATAGTACGCGGCCCTGGAGGGCTCTGGTTATATTGAGTGTGTGTTACCAGCGAATGAACTTGAGGGACAGCATCAGAATGAACAAAATATTTTATCTAATAGTTTGAAGGGACCCAGGGGCGGATCCAGGAATTTTTGCAGGGGGGGGGGGGGGGCTCGTCAGCAAATCATTGCTGAAATATAGACAGGGTTTTTTTTTGTCCGGACACTTGGCCTCTGTAAGATCAATAGGTGGGGGGGGGGGGGGTCGTATCGTACTTTCAATGGGGGCGCTGTTCAAACCCGACGATTATTAACACTACATCACAGAATAGTACACAAATACCCCCTAAGAAGCTGGCTCTGTCCGTATTTTTTTCAAAGGTGGACATTATTGACAGAATATTTTTGGGGTGTCAGAGCTGGGGGGTCGCATTATTTGTAATGAATTTCTACGAAAAAAAATTGACAGAGCTGGGGGGGTTGGCCGCTGATATTTTGCTTTCTTTAGTTTTATACTAAAAAGTATACTAAAAGTTGGTAACTGCCTTCAATAGATGGCATACACTTGCTGTTTTGTACCCAGAAATTAGCATCGCAATAGCGCCCCCTATCGTAACCGGCTCAGTGAACTACTGCTTATTGTATAGCTTTCGTTATGTACAACCCCTTCTTTTTATCCTTAATGA